CCCTGGACATGGTGTCCCCTCTCCCCGGGGCCCCAGACGGAGAAACACTTGGAAATGCTCACTATCATCTGCTTGCCTGCTCACCTAACCACACTCACAGCCACTCCCAAGAACCGTTACACACCTGCTCACATGTTCCCGTGTCTTGCTCGTTGGCAGCCTTCTACATGTGTTTACCCCAGAGAAATATCCAGAGTCAGGCATTTGCATGTCTGCACTCTGTCTAGGTGTCTTAGAGCTCTCTCTGTGTCTGTGACCTTGAAAACTGGAGCTAAAACTGAGACGTTGATAGGAAATTCTTTAGGTTTAGCAGAGTGCCTTCTAATGGAAGTATATGTAGACCACATCTTTAAAAATTTCTAGCAGCCACATTAAAAAGACAAAAAAAAAAGAGAGAGAGACAGGCTAAATAAATTTTAATGATGTATTTTTTTAACATAATATACTCAAAATGTTATCACTTCAGCATGTAGATAACACTTAAAAATTTTTGGTACTAAATCTCCAAAATCAAACGTGTATTTGCACTTATGGGACATTTCAAGCGTTTGATGGCTGCAATACTGGACAGCACTGGTTTAGATGATTACAGTTCTCTTCCTTTGGAAAAAATAAGTAAAATATAATTAAAACACTTTCTATGTGGGAGAAGTCGGTATGTTTTAGCTTTTTATTTTTTATTTATTTTTTTAAATATTTATTTATTTATTTATTTATTTATTTATTTATTTATTTATTTATGATAGACAGAGAGAGAGAGAGAGAGGCAGAGACACAACAGGAGCCGGGAGAAGCAGGCTCCATGCCGGAGCCCGATGTGGGACTCGATCTCACGACTCTAGGATTGCGCCCTGGGCCAAAGGCAGGTGCTAAACTGCTGAGCCACCCAGGGATCCCCTGTTTTAGCTTTTTAACTATGTGATTAAGTTTGAGATAACTTTGGAATGGTCTCCCAAGGTTTGGTGAGGATAATGTTGTTTTCTTTTATTTTTTTTAAGATTGTATTTATTTATTCATGAGAGATACAGAGAGAGAAAGAGGCAGAGATGTAGGCAGAGGGAGAAGCAGGCTCCCTCCAGGGAGCCTGATGAGGGATTTGACCCCAGAACTCCAAGATCACCTCCTGAGCCAAACACAGACGCTCAACCACTGAGCCACCCAGGTGCCCAATGCTCTGTTTCCTAAACTATTGCCAATCTTGTCTTGACTGATTTCACAGTGATCAGATGGCAGCTCCTCTCTCTGATCTTAGAAGTCCGCAATTGAGAGATTGGACCCTGACGCAACAGTCACAGAGAAGATGGACCAATAGGCAGCTGGCTCCACCTGTGATGGACAGGGGCAGGGGGTAGGGCACGGAATTGCACATTTCTGTAGGTCGGTTGAAGTTAAGACCAAGGACCATCCAGCCCTCTGGACAAAATAGCAGTTGTGAAACTAGATGAGCAATTGCAGTGTCCTGAGAGGACTCTGTGAGGTTTCCTGACCAGCCCTTGCCATGGGGTAACACTCTCAATTTTCTTTTAAGAAAGAATGTGTGGGGGCCCCTGGATGGCTCAGTGGTTGAGTGTCTGCCTTTGGCTCAGATGGTGATCCCAGAGTCCTGGGATCGAGTCCCGCATGGGGCTTCCTGCAGGGAGCTTGCCGATGTCTCTGCCTCTGTGTCTCTTTTGCTCATTCCTGGCCATGCTGGTTCCTGTCTCTGGGTCCATGGGCTTCTCTGCTTGGCCCTCCGTGAGACCTCTGGCCTCCTAAGACCCTCTTGATCTGGGACGGGGGTGGTGAGGATGCCCCAGGGTCAGAGGGTCCTGGGTCCCTGAAAAGAGGAGACTGAATAAATAAAATCTTTTAAGGGAAAGAAAATAGAAAGAAAAAAAGAGAAAGAAGAAAGAAAGAAAGAAAGAAAGAAAGAAAGAAAGAAAGAAAGAAAGAAAGAAAAATGTGCCTCAAGTCCAGCTAACCATAAACCAGGGATTGGTTTAGAGTGGGCCATGATTTTGGCCCAGCCAATCAGAATCTAAGATTTGGCACAGGGGTGGGCAAATGAGCCAGATTCAGGCAATGAAACTCAAGCCTGGGACTTTTGTGGCATTACCCAGGATAAAAAGGCATTTCCTCTCCCCTCCCCCCAAACCGGGAAGATGTAAGGCTGGAGCTGTGATGGGGGAGACCCCACCTGAGAGAGAAGCCAGCACTGAGGAAAGCAGACCTGAGAGAGAGTCAGATCCAGGAGTCATCACCTGAGACCTAGATCCACCCATACCTGAATCTGTTGTTCTAACCCTGGGCTTCTCGGGGCACTTGGGTGGTTCAGCTGGTTAAGCGTCTGACTCTTGCTTTCAGCTCTGGTCCTTGCTCAGGGTGGTGAGATTGAGCCCTGCATCGGAGTCTGCTTGTGATTCTCTTCCTCTCTCTGCCACACCCTCTCTCTCTAAAATAAATAAATAAATCTTTAGCTCCAGGCCTCTCAGTAACATATCCAGAAACTTCCTTTTTTTTTTTTTTAAATTTTATTTTTAAGTAATCTCTACACCGAACACGAGGCCCAAACTCACAACTCTGAGAACAAAAATTGTATGCTTCACTGACTGAGCCAGCCAGGCGCCCCCAGAAACTTCCTTTTACTTTTGCTCAAGCTAGCTTGAGGTGGGGTTTGCGGCACTTGCAACTAGAAGAGTCTTGGCTACCTCAGGGGGGCTGAACAGTTGGCAAGTGAGAGAATGGGGGCTTATGAAGGGGCTTGTTATCCAAGTGTGCACTCTGGGACAGGACACTGACTGCTGGAATTGAGGGCTCTGAAGAGGACCTTCTTGGGGTCCAAACACAGGGGGACAATTGAGTGGGACTTGGAGATGAAGAGGCATTCAGATCAGAGTCTGGGGACAAAGGAGTGCAACCCCCTCACCCCATCCACATCAGTGAGGGGCCGGGACAGGCAAGGTTCTAGATTCACCCTCTTGGCTCCTTCCTCAACACAGTTCTATCTGGATGGTCCCACCCCCACCCTATGGCCACAATGGGGTTAGGAGGGAGGATTTAGGAGGGACATCTCTGAATTGGGGTTTGGGTAGGCTCCAGGGGCAAGAGGAGAGTCTGTGATCTCAGCTCATGGCTACCAGGATGAGACAGGGGGCCGTGCCATCACAGGGGGCAGGGGGCGAGGTGGGAGCATAACATGGGAGGGGAGGGATGGGCAGAAGAAAGTCTTGGGCACCACCTGCCACCGCCTCCCTCCCTCCAGGAGACTCCAAAACACCCTGAAAACCAGGATCCCACCCCATCACCCATTCTCCAGTCCATGCAGTATGCTGCTGGGGACTGGGACATTTGACTCTGGGGTCCCTTTCAAGATTGGGCACCGAGTGTCCTGAAATCTGTGTCTGCATCTCTCAAGGGCTAGATTTTAAGACCCCTGGGTTAGGATCCCTAGGGAACTGGACCCTGAATCACCTGGATCTGTGTGCTCCCAGGAAGCTAGGTAGGGGTTACAGGTGACTCTTCGTCCAGATCAGAATTCAGACTGGGACCAATGTCATCCAGGCTGAGATGGGGACTTGATGGAAGCAAGAGACTCTGTGTCTATGTGTCCACGTTCCTCTTGCCATGGCCACGCCTGTGTGCACCAGGGGTGCCTTCTTGTGCCTATGTATGTGTCTGTGGGCATGGTGGGTCTCTGTGTGACCATAGTAACCGGGTTGTATACTGTGTGTGCACATGGCCATGTGTCACTGTGTGCCTACATGCAGTGTGTGCCCCTGGATGGTGTATCCACGTGTGTATGTGGTTATTTATTTAACAGACACTTCCTGTGCACCTACTATGTGGCATGCTCTCTCCTGAGTGCCAAGAATACACCCAAGAGCAAACAAGTACCCTGCCCTGCGTTTTCACATTCAAGTGTTCAGGAGGACGGCGTGGCTCTGTGTACTGCAGGTTGTAAGTAACTATTCGAAACTGTGCTGCGCGTGTGAAAACGTGAACTTGTGGTTCGTGGCCTCAAGTAAGAATTCTCAGCAGGCTCCTGTGAAGACTGCTTCCTGTCCACCACCCAGCTTCGCCTGTGCCTTGAAGGCTGTTGCTCCACGAAGTTGGGGCTCAGGGCTCTGGGCTGAGAGATGACTCAGGGATCCACCTTGACCCTGAGGCTACTGGGGGCTTGGAGCCCTGGAGTGTGTGTGTGTGGGGGTTGTCCCTGTCCCAACCAGACCCAGACCCTGAATGAAGCCTCATTGTAGGGGCTGGGGCAGAATGACCCAGCGACTTCCCAGAAAGCGAGACAGCCGAGGGTGATCGTCAAGGCGGGCTCAAAGGTAACACTCACTTCCCCTCCTGAAGGAGGTCATGATCCCTGAGTGTGTCTGTAGAGGAAGTTGAGGCCTTGTTCAAGGAGGTGGGGTTGGGGGTACAGCATGGGAGGGGAGGGATGGGCCGAAGAAAGTCAGGGCACCCCCTCCTCTGCCCTATCACCCCTCCCTCCAGCGTCTATGTGCCCCACTCTTTTCGGAGACGGCAGCTCAGTCCCCCACACCCCATAAAATACAGACAGCGGGGGGCCTGGGTGGCTCAGTGATTGAGCATCTGTCTTTGGCTCAGAGCGTGGTCCTGGGGTCCCAGGATCCAGTCCTGCATCGGGCTCCCCAAAGGGACCCGGCCTCTCCCTCTGCTTGTGTCTCTGCCTCTGTCTCTCATGAAGAAATATTTTTTAAAGATTTTATTTATTTACTCATGAGAGACACAGGCAGAGGGAGAAGCAGGCTCCCTGCAGGGAGCCTGACATGGGACTCGATCCGGGACTCCAGGATCACGCCCTGGCCTGCAGGCGGCGCTAAACCGCTGAGCCACCCAGGGATTCCCCCAAATAAATAAAATATTAAAAAAAAAAGAAAAAGAAAAAAAAAAGAGCGCCCAGACCCTCACCATTTTCTGTGTTCTCAGTGTTTATTTCCAGTCCCGCCCCTCACCGGCCCCGCCCCCGAGGCCTCGCCCCGCCCCCTCTGCGGTCTGACCCCGCCCCTCCGGGCCTGGCCACGCCCCCCAGCCCGCACCGCGCTCCCGGGACGTCAGGCGGTGGCCTGCAAGCGGCAGCAGCGCGCCGCGGTCCAGTCCATGCCCGCGCACTGGCAGTGGCATGTGGTCTCGACACGCACGTCCCAGGAGCCGCAGGCGGAGCCACAAGCGCAGGCGGTGACGGCGAAGCCTGCGGGCGGGAGCGGAGGGTCTGGCCCCCGAGCAGGAGGCTACGGGCCGGGAGGTCTTGGGGGGGGGAGGGGGCGGAGCTGTGAGCTCCTACACCCGGGAATGGGAGTTGGATTGCGTGCGCCAGGGAGGCTGGGGGCTGGGGACCTGGACCCCAGTGTGCTAAGGAAATGCGGTCCCGGAGCTGGGACGGGGGGAAGGCTGGGGCTGCAGACCAGGACTCTGGGGAAGTTGACTCGAGAAATAGAGGCTGGACTTAGGGGAAGGGGTTACTGGGTATTGGGAACCTAAGTGAGAGCCTGGAAAAGGAACTTCTGTACTCACCTGCGGGGCAGGTGGCCAGGTCCCCCCTGGAGGTGACGCTCTGGCAGCTCAGGCCAAAGTTCCTTATTGTCTCCAGAACTGTGGGAGGGAGGAAGGAGGGAAGCCCGGGAAGCCGTGATTCAAAGCAACCCCTTCCCCCTTCTCGTGGCCCTGGCCCTTGTGGTTTGGTTAGGCAGGGGGGCCAGAAAACTTTTCTGAGGAAGGCCCAGGTGGTCCAGGCTCTGGTGGACAGCCATGAGGTGGGGAGCTCACCACCAACTCCCAGGTTCTGTCTTGACTTGGGTGTTTTAGAGGAAGGGGGACTGGGAGCTTCTGCCAAAGGCGGAGCTGGTTGGGGGCTGGGGTTGGGTTGGGCTCTGGATGGGGTTGGCTTGATGGTTGCTGCATGTCAGGGGTTAGGGGTCCTCGGAGGCCCCGGGGGACATTGGAAGCGAGGGTCCTCACTTAAGGAGCTGGTGCCATCCTGGATCTTCTCTTGGATGGCCTCATCCACTGGACACAGAGACTTGCCACACGCCAGCAGCCCCAGGACAGGGAGGAGGAGGGGAAGAGCCTTCATCCTGCAGGTGCTGCAAGAGGGAATGAAGATACCCCTAGCTGGGTCAGTCCCTTCTCATGGAGAGGGTCAGGCCTACAGAGCGGGTGGGCTCTGGAATCCTGAGTCCCTGTGGGGGACATGGGCCCCTGGGGCTGGGGTTCTGGGCTGAGCAGAGTAGCTGTCACTTACCCTCTGGATGGACTCAGCAAGCCAAACCTTGGACACTGGTTTTATGCCCCAACCACATCTCCCTCTTTAAGGCTTCTGGATGTGGAGCTTCCTGTATTGGCTCAGGGTCTTGGCCCCCTGGCCCTCCCATCCCACATCCGGGCCAAGAGGAAGCCCCCAGGGCACACTATGGGCCCCCGGGGGTGGGAAGCTCTGCCCCCCACCCCCACCACCACAACCACAGTTTCCCCATTCAAGAGTCCACCCATCTCACATCTGGACTGGGACTGGTCCAGGAGGTAGTGCCTGGGGGATGATTCCAGAAGCCCTTGTCTTAGGGACAGGCGAGGAACCAGGAGTTTGCATGCAGGGTCAGGGAATGCAAGCACAACCAAAATAACCCAAATGTGAGAACCGCATACCAAAATGCCTATCAACAATAGAATGGATAAAATCATGTGGTTGTTGCATGTTTTTTTTTTTCTTTGAAAGGAACAATCTGCAACAGACGGTGACAAACTTGCAGCCCATGGGACAAATCTGGCCCACTGTCTATTTCTGTGCAACCCTAAGAATGGTTTTTACATTTTTTGTTTTTCTGCTTCTTCTTTTTAAGACACAGATTTTTTAAATTGTGGCAAAATACATTTCACATTAAATTTATCATTTTAACCATTTTTAAGTGGACAGTCCTGTGACATTAAGCACTTTCATATGGTTAGACAACCATCCCCACTACCCATCTCCAGAACTTTCTCATCTTTCCAAGCTGAAACTCTGTCTCCACAAAACACTAACCCCCCATCCTCCTCCTTGGACCCCCTGGGTCCCACCATCTACTTTCTGTGTTTTATGAATTTGTCTGTTCACACCTCAAGTAAGTGGAATCACACAATGCTTATCCTTTTATGTCTGTGCTTTCACTCAGGGTAACATTTTCAAGATTCATCCGTGCTCTGGCATGGGTCAGAACTTCATTCCTTTTTATGGCTAATAATCCACTGTAGGGACACACCACTATTTTGTTTATCCATTCATCTGTTAGTTGTCCCCTGCTCTGTTGTTGCTACTTCTTGTGAATGATGCCCCCGTAAACCTTGGAACGTGTGAGCATCTCTGAATCCCTGCTCTCGGTTCCCTCGGGTACGTATCCGGGAGCGGGAATGCTGGATCATATGGCAATTCTGTGTTTAACTTGTCAAGGAACTGCCAAAAAGTTCTAGCATTTTTAAATCATTGGGGAAAAAAAATTTTAACACTTAGTGACATATGAAAAGTAGATGAAATTGAAATCTCAGTGCCCATAAATAAAGTGTTCTTGGAACATAGCCATGCCCACTTTTTTACAGATGGTCCAAGGCTGCTTTCGTAGGTCAGTGCCAGAGTGGAGAAGTTGTGACAGAGACGGTATGGTCTGCAGAGATGAACCCAGCTACTATCTGGCCCTTTACAGAAAAAAAATATTTTTGCCCACCCCTGGTCAATAGTAATGAGTGTGAATGAGAGATCCAGTGGATCAATTGCAGCTACAAGCAACAGTCTGGATGATTCTCGCCAACATAACTGTGAGCAAAAGAATCCAGACACAGAGAAGAACACAAATCCATTTATTAAAAAGGACCAGGGCAGGGCACCCTGGTGGCTCGATCGATTGAGTGTCTGACTCTTTTCTGGGTTTTTTTAAGGTTTTATTTATTTATTTATTTATTTATTTATTTATTTATTTTGATTATTTTTTTATTTTTTTTATTTTTTTTAATAAATTAATTTTTATTGGTGTTCAATTTACCAACATACAGAATAACACCCAGTTATTTATTTATTTGACAGAGAGAGAGTACAAGCAGGAGGAGCAGCAGAGGGAGAGGGTGAGGGAGAAGCAAGCTCCCCGCTGAGCAGGAAGCCCAACTTGGGGCTCCATCCCAGGACCCTGAGATCATGACCTGAGCCGAAGGCAGACGCTTAAGTGACTGAGCCACCAGGTGCCCCTGAGTGTCCAACTCTAGATTTTGGCTCGGGTCCTGGGATCAAACCCCAGATGGAGTTCCCTGCTCAGCAGTTCCCTTCTCCCCCTGCCCCTCCCCCTGGCTCATGTGTTCTCTCTCTTTCAAATGAATAAATAAAATATTTTTTAAAAAATTAAAAATATGGGGATCCCTGGGTGGCGCAGTGGTTTGGCGCCTGCCTTTGGCTCAGGGCGCGATCCTGGAGACCCCGGATCGAATCCCACGTCGGGCTCCCAGTGCATGGAGCCTGCTTCTCCCTCTGCCTGTGTCTCTGCCTCTATCTCTCTCTCTCTCTCTGTGACTATCATAAAAAAAAAAAAATAAAAAAAAAATAAAAAAAAATTAAAAATATGGGATGCCTGGTGGCTCAGCGGTTGATCATCTGCCTTTAGCTCAGGGTGTGTTCCCAGGGTCCTGGGATCGAGTCCCGCATCAGGCTCCCTGCATGGAGCCTGCTTCTCCCTCTGCCTGTGTCTCTGCCTTTCTCTCTGTGTCTCTCATGAATAAATAGAATCTTAAAAGAAAAAAATTAAAAATAAATAAATACAACCGTGTGTATATAGGGCCAACGTGTAGGCAATATTTATTGAGCACCTACTATGTGCCAGATACAATGCTACACATGGTGCATGTAGTGGGGCACAAGGGGACCCCCCCCCCCACCCCACCTCACACACTTTGCCTTGCCTGTCGGAGGAAGACAGACACCAAGAGAACGCTCATTAGCCTCCACCTCCACCAGTCATCTGTGCCTCAAAGAAGAGGAACCCAGTTCTGGGAGAACTTCTGGCATAAGAATGTGGCCCCCAGTGGAAGAATCCAGGGAGGCTTTGTGCAGGAAGAGGTGGCTGAGCGGAAGGCGGAGGGTGAGCAGGAGAAGCAGGAGAAGCAGTCACGGAGGGCATTCTGGGTGAAAGGAACTGCATGTCCCAAGGCCCTGGGGAAGGACAGAGTGCACCAGCTTTGAGGAACCGAAAGAAAACCAGAGGGCAGGAAAGCAGAGAGCCAGGTTGGGGTAAACACATTTCACAGCTCCCTTCCTTGAAGATGTCCAGACACAGCTCGGGCACAAGGGAGCTCGGGACGCAGCACGACTCATTTTTTGAGAGCTCTGATCTTACAAACCCTTTTATCTCAGAACTTTACAGATAAAAGCTTTGGAGGGGCACAGAAGTGGGAAGCTCCGACTACAGGGTGGATGAAAAGCAGGGGGAATGTGTGCAACCCCTGGGATTCTCTGGGGCTTTAGTTTGAAAGCCTTGGTTAAGTAGCAGGAAAGGGCCACTTGTCCTTTGTCTTTTAAGAATATAAAAATATTGGGATGCCTGGGTGGCTCAGCAGTTGAGCGGCTGCCTTAGGCTCAGGTCGTGATCCCGGGGTCCTGGGGTCCCGCAGGGAGCCTGCTTCTCCCTCTGCCTGTGTCTCTGCCTCTCTCTGTGTGTCTCTCATGAATAAATAAATAAAATATTTTAAAAAGAAGAAAGAAAAGAAAAATATGTTGGGGCCCCTGGGTGGCTCATTCAGAAGAGCATGCCACTCTTGATCTCAGGGTCATGAGTTCAAGCCACACCCTGCTGTAAAGATGACTTTTTTTTTTTTAAGATTTTATTTATTTATTCATGAGACACACACACAGAGAGAGGCAGAGATAAAGAGAGAGGGAGAAGCTCCATGCAGGGAGTCCGATGTGGGACTCGATCCCGGGACTCCAGGATCACGCCCTGAGCGAAAGGCAGGTGCGCAACTTCTGAGCCACCCAGGCGTCCCTAGAGATGACTTAAAAAAAAAAAAACTTAAAAAAGTATTTTCATTCCCCCTGATTTCTATCAGTGACACTGGGTTCTAGTGGCCTCAAGTTTGCATCAAATGCTATCAAAGTTTCAGAGCCGGGTCCTTAAAGCGTTCGATAGGGCAGTCACTTTTTTATTTTATTTTATTTTATTTTATTTTATTTTATTTTATTTTATTTTATTTTATTTTTTTAGTCACTTATTTTAACATCACTTTTATTGAGGTATGATTTTGATGCGTCTTTTAAAAAAATTTTTTTATTTTCATGCATCTAAAGTGTTCAGTTGAATGCATTTTGACAAACGTATGTGCTGACACGCTGCATGGATGTTTTGTCGTTCCCAAGTATTGTCGTTTTTGTTGTTTTGGTTTTGTTTTGATTTTTAGAGACTGAGAGAGAGAGCATGCATACGGGGAGGGAGGAGGGTCAGAGGGAGAGGGAGAGAGAGAATCTTAAGCAGGCTCCATGGCCAGCGCAGAGCCTGATGTGGGGCCCAATCTCAGGACCCTGAGATCATGACCTGAGCCAACATCAAGAGTTGTCCTAGGGCAGCCCCAGTGGCGCAGCGGTTTGGCGCCGCCTGCGGCCTGGGGTGTGATCCTGGAGACCCGGGATCGGTCCCGCATCGGGCTCCCTGCGTGGAGCCTGCTTCTCCCTCTGCCTGTGTCTCTGCCTCTCTTTCTGGGTCTATGAATAAATAAATAAAATCTTTAAAAAAAAAAAAAAGAGTTGTCCGCTCAGCTGGCGGCTGAGCCACCCATGTGCCCCTCCAAGTTTTAAAAAATAAGCTGTCATTTACATAAAATTAAAATTCGCCCTTTTTACTGAGTTCTATGAGTTTTGACAAATGCTTAGAGGTGTGTGATCATCACCACCAAATACTTATAACTTAAGTGATAGCTGAGGGATTAAAGGGAGTTTGCCCAAAGATCTTAAGGAAATCTGTGTCCCGAACCCACAGAGAGAGAAAAAGGATTTTCTCTGCTCCTGTTTTCCTGCGGGGCCCAGCGGACGTTGTGAATAGTCACAAGTGTTCTCAGATAGTCGCCTCTGTTACTGCGCATCTGTCCTTGAAGGGTGATTTTGAACAAACAGGGCTTGGGAAGCTGCCCTCCAGGAGCAACCTGAGTTTCTGGTTGCTTGCCTCGCTAGATAACAACTCGCTGTCCTGGTGACGGGCCTGAGATGACAGGTGGCTCTGCCAAATCAGAATGCAACCATTGGCACTTGCTTCCTGTGCCACATGAATGACAGCAAATAAAAGCTAAAGTCTTGGAACGCTGCCCGGTGTCTTTAGCA